TTAAAAATTTACTATTATCTTCCTACATTAGACAATTATTTACAACCCTGATTCTCTCAAGAATTTATCTATCTATTTTGGTTTCACCAAATTTTAAATATGTATTTCAGTGAGTGGGTTTGTATCAAAGGAATGAATTCCATCATGTTATGAAAATAAGGCTGATGGTTTTTATGGTAAGTGTTGTTGAAGATGTGGTAATGAAGACCATATATCTGTAGGTGCTAAGAACTACAGATACCTAGCTCCATGATCAGTTTAACCACCTTCTGAGCTGAAGGTAACAAAAATACATCAAGGTTATGGTAGCACTTGAACTAACCTATAAGGTAAAAACACCTCTATAATCTGAAAATTTAAAATATGGGTTAATTCAAATTTTCCTGTTTTGGGTATGATGGAGAGGAGATTGTTTGTTTGTTTATATATACACCTTGACATTGGTCCTGCAAGCAAACCTGCTCAAGAAATTTGAGTATTGCCTGTACTCTTCCTCTAAAGCACTCTGATCTGAGATCAAAGAGTACATCTGACACAGCATCAGGTACTCATTACACTTCTTGTGTGTAGGCTTTATCCCAAATCAATATTTTTACCTTCCTGGAAGTTCATATTTTTTAATGTTAGTAATTGAAACTCTGGAAACATAGGATTTACACTTGTCTTTGCAGCCATTTATCCAGCCAGTCGTTCACCCAGGCAGCCTCATGGAAAAATGACTGCTCCATCTGCTAAAGAAAATCTCCATATGGTAAATATCCCACCACAGCTATGAATTCAGTATTTCCTAAAATAGGAGCGATTGGATTTGATATGGAACATTATTCATTATCAGTATATTTAAATTAATTTTATTTTGTGTGTGTGCGTGCTACTGTGTATGCCTAATTCAGTTGATTGCTTCTGTTAAAAAAAAAAATGACAAAGTGAGTATTTTATTATGACCGTCCTTCATCAACAGGTTTTATCAGCACAATTTAAAGCCTTAATTGTCAGGATCTGCAGCACAGTTTACTCTCTCTTGTGAGGCAAGATCAGCAGATAACATGGGGTGGCTTTTGCAGAAGGGAGAACAGAATTAATAGATTACACAAGAATTATGTTTTCCAAATAAGGAGAAATTTTAGGTCCAAGGATGTATGGAGGAGCCAGAACATTGGGATGCAGTGCCTCCTGCTAGCTCCACCACACACACAGTGTAACTTCCCCTCGGATGCCTGATACTCGTATCACAGCCTGTGCTGCTGCATTAGTGGTAGAATCCACTCATGTGGCCATGGGCTTTGACTGATGACTTTTAATCACAACCACACCTAAAAGAAGTGAAGTAGCAATTTAAAGTTCCTCTTATAGCCTTGATATGGGGTTTTGTTGGAGAACACTGGAGCCAGAAAGATCTTCCCTGCTAAATATCAAAGACTTGTGACAAAAAGAAACAAAGTCTGTTCAGAGAACTAACAGCAGACAATAGCAACAGGGATTGGTAAGCAATCGAAATATATTCGCTGCCACAAGTTATCCAGTGGAATGCACAAAGAATACCTTTAGCTACAGTGTGCTCTTGTTTTTCCTAGAACGGCTCACAGTCATGCAGCACTCACAACCACTGGTGGTCAGGGTGTGAAAAAGGGGTGCCAGGTGACAGGGAGGCTCATCCAGACAAATATCCCATCTAAGTGAAAACTCATTCTTCTTCCTTTTAGGACATTTTCCCTAAACAAGAGTGGGTGAACCCTTCCTATCACGGAAAGGACTGAACGATAGTGACATCCCCAGGTACCTGAAGGTTTTCTTACTTGCAAAGCTCTGCATCAGTGAGCTCATTCCAGTGAAGGTACCAATGCCTCTTCTTCACTGGCTTGTCAGTTCCTTCCTCAGTCCATTCCATCAGGACAAAGGACCTTTTGTCTAGATAGCTTTGGGGCCAAACATGGGCCACCATTTATTCCTATAGTAAACTCAACTAATCTAATTTAATATTTATGCTTATCAGCATTTCTTCAGTTACGTTGAAGCAAACTCTGTCGCTCAGATAAAAATTACAGCATTTTCTCTTGAAACTTGATAACAATGACATATCAGAGCTGAATTTACCATCTATTACTATCTACAAGCTTTTCCAGGTCTTGCTTCTGTTGCAATGTCTGTAAAAGCACAGCCACACTGGGTAGGTATTAGAGTACTTAATAAGAGAGTGGTGAGTAAAGTAGTGATGATGACATTACTAATAGTCTTACTTAATCTTCCACTTATTTAAAATGCTGACATCACCAAAGAGGTGCTATGACTCAAGACCCGACACTAACACTACTCAAGTCCAGTTGATATCTCAGGAATCCTTCCCTCTGCTCAGGGCAGGAAACCAATAGGACTGAATTCCAAGCTACAAACACCAGCACAGAGATTTCTTGAAGGAGAGCTGTTGTCCTTAAAGTCTTAGAAAAACTAGTAACTTATTTGCCCACATAGATAAGCAGGAAAATGGTGTAAGACCTATAAAATGAGTTATAATATTTTGCTGGAAGAACATTTTTATTATATTAATTTTAAAAACTATTATGACTTTAAAAATTAACTGGATTATGGAAGACCTTTTGTTATCAAACTAAGGCAAAAGCCTTGAACTTCAAAAGATGAAGGAAATTAGAGTCTGTCTAGTAAGTGTATTCTTGTTTTACATTATCTACCATTTAGTGTATAGCACAAAACCTTTTTATTACATAGCTTAAAAAATTGATATAAGGCAGCCATTAAGTCATTAATTTATCTTAATTCTTTCTAGTAAGTCTTTTGAGAGTGTATGTTTTTGTATCCAGACTGGTAATTCACAGTTATATGCCTGCCCAGACAGGTGTTAATAGGGTCTGCCTTTCTAGATGGCAGAGCAGAACAGGTTTGCACACATTATAAGTTCCACACAAATATGGAACCAGTAAATTTGCTATGTGCAATCTGTCATGATGATGTAAATATATGGTATCTCTGTGAAAAAATGAAGGTGTTTCATTCACATCTCTTTACCTTAGGCACCTAAACTGAGATCACTCATGTGCTACAAATGACTTTTATCTCTCACTAGGAGAATTCAGACTCTCCTCCTTCACCACAGAAAGGACGAAAGAGTTTAGACTGCCAGATCAGACGCTTCTTACAGTGATGGTAAAAATAACTGCCACCATTACTCGGTCCTTCATATTCCAACTAAAATTTCTGCCCTAGTGTGATTATGCCTTTTGTAGCCTTTATAGCCTTTATTTCATAGAATCACAGGTTTCCTCCACGTATCTTGTGCCCTAGCTAATAGCTTTCAGCATCCTTGTTTTTCAGATAAGCCTCACTGCTCATTACCTCAATTACAGACTAAGATATATTTATATAAAACCAATACAGTTCTTGGCATTTATCCTCAGGATTATTATATAAAATGTCTTCTTTACAGAAAAGAATCAGTAACTTTTAAAACATTTCTCAAATTATTATATAAAAGTAGATAAAGATTTAATTTGATTTTATTTATTATAAGAGAGTTTTTGAATGTCTAAAGCTAAACTTGCAATTTCAACTCCCTCTACAGTCAGTCAAGAGCAATACATATCTCAGTGGTGTATTTTAAATTAGTTACATTCTGGACTTGCACGATTCTCAGCTTCAGCTGTCAAGGGAATCTATATAGCTAGGTTAATGTTAAAACGTCCACAGTTAGATTAGATAAACCCCATCAACAGAAACTAATGAAAGAACAACCTGATCATTTGAAAACTCTATGAGGCAGCATGATTAGGAAAAGTGTTCTCAGATCTCTGGTAATCTCTGTTGAACACTTGTTTTTCAAAAACCTTTGTGTTTCTTTCTCTTTAGTGAAGCCAAAAATTAAAAAAAAATAAAGCATTGAAAAAATACGCTGTTTACTAGAATGTTTCTTTAATAAATAGAGAAGATGGAAAAAAATTAATTGAATGGATGCATTTCTTCTAAATTTACTGACAAAAGTTTGCAGCCAATTTTGACTTGCTTTCACCCAGGGTTTAAGGTACTGTTAACACACAAAGGCCGACCAAAACTCACAGAATTACTTCAAAGAGAGTGGGCACTTGCAATTTTTCTCATGTGAAACAAAAAGTACAAAGATAAGAAATGATGTGTTTGTTTGCTGAGTGCTCTTTTGTAACCATGGCTTATCTGAGAAAAAGCAGCTGGAGATTATCAAGTCCGAGAAGTAGGTGAGGTGAAGGTAGCTGGATAGGTTAATCTTTGTTGGAGTGTAACATAGACATTGATTTTATGGGTGGAGAGATGGCTTTTTTATTAATTTTGGAGTCTACAAGATCATGAGGGTTTAGAAGGAGACTTTAGGTCTTTATAATGACCATTTCCACACAAGACAAGCAAACACTAACAATACAGCTAACCAGGTGATGCATAGCCTGCAACCAGGCTGATTAGGCTACTTCCAATGCTTTTATGACCTAAATGCTACAGGCAGTTGTTCCAAGGCCAAAAGGCAGAGGTGTCAAAGGCAGTGCCTGCCATATGTGCTGCTGCTCCTTGGTGGGTGCCTGGGGCCTTCCTCAGTCCTAACCTCATCTTGTCTGGGCCTGTTTTGGGGTGAGCTTTGTGGCATTGCTGTCCCTTCATTACTCAAAGGAACTAGGCAAACAGTAACAGTTAGTAAGAAACACAGGGACAAAAAGGTTGATAATGTGACTATACTGTAGCACCTCAGCCTTTTGGGAGGGCAGGTATACATCATGGGCAGCACACATTTGGGTATTTTCTGGTCAGATTGATTCCACTTAAACATCTGCTGCTGCTCCTCAGATCCCATGGGGAGGACAAAGCATTACTCACAGCTCACTAATCTTGCAACTCCACGTCAGGGTCACTGGAAAGAGGGAAGGGAGATGGAGACCTCTGCATTTGAGTCACCCTTTTTTGCCCAGCCCTCACCTTTCATGATTAAAGCCCTGCAGCCACAAACACCAGGGTCACAAACCTTCACCATGCGGTCCTACTTTGGCATACATGCTCTTCTTATAGTGACTGTTATTCTGAGTCCAGTGACTGCCACAGCATGGAGTGAAAAATATGCTACCGGAGAAGATCTCTATCCCCCTTTGTGGGACCTTGCCCCTGAAAACCTGCTGGATTTCCCAGTAAAGGACAACAAAATTGTCATCAATGCTTGGAACTATCTAGAACGACTGGGAGTGTATAAGATCTTGCTGAACTTTTCAGCCAAGTATTTTACTGCTTTTGGATCCCAAAATTTTGGCAATATTCTCTGGGGATTACCGTTGCAGCACGGGTGGCAATTTCGCACAGGTATGTATTACATCCTTAAGGTGCTGGAAAAGCTAAGTGTTTACCAGACCTACTTTGGGTCATCCTTTCCAAGGTTTCTGCCTCTCAAGCCCAGTATTGCCTCAGACAGTATAATTTTTGATGTACAGAGCTAAGCTGCCAATTTGGAAAAGAAATCTTGAATTACGGGAACACCCTTGCCTTGTTGAGCAATAGCTATTAACTTTCCTAACAGGAAAAGGTATTGCTAAACACAGGACTGGTTCGGAATCCAGAAGGTCTGTTATTATTTCAGTTAGCTGAAAATATTTGAAAAGATATTCCCAGTTGCTCTAGTTTATAGCAGATAGATTTTAGGACGTGCACTCTGCAGTGTTGTTCTTAAATTGTTAACTGATAGGCTTTTTTTGGTTGTTAATGTTATGATCTTTTATTGGTGATTTGGGTTTAATTTCTAATACAGATAGTTGAAAGTGTTTGTTTCCCTTTCTGCTATTTTTGATCAGTTTACAAGTAACCTCATTATTTTCTAAATATGTTTTTTACAAAAATTAGTTTGTTACATTTGTTGGTGGGGTTTGTTGGTTGTGGGGTTTTTTATCTTTTAAATTATGTCCAAATTTTAATGGTGCATCCTCCAAAAGCTGGTTGTTGCCTGGGGCAGTCATTCTTGTTTGCTTGTTGGCCATGCCAGGAAAGTAGACAAAGAAACATGTGTGAAACGTCCTTCGAGGCTGTATCTTACAATACCTTGCAAGGGCAATAATCTTGCAATATCTTACAAGGGCTTTATCACAGAACATATTCTTCCACACACTACTTCACACACAGAAGGCAATGAAGATCTCTGTTCAGGAGTCTTGCTGATAAGGTTGCATATAGTTGCTAATGACATACAACTGAGAGACACTGTCAATACAGAGAAAGACACAAATACTTTGGGAAGACCTGAAGACTGAAATAGCAAGCATGTTAAGTGCAAGGAATAGGAGGGAATGGAGAGCACAAACCTGGAAATTAGATCTAGAAGTGGGGTTAATGCTTTCAGCGCCAACACATTTGGACATATCCTGTAATTATCACTGGTACTGTCCAGGATTCTTTAATTTCCCAAAATATCTATGCTAACAATCTGTGGTAAATCTCATGTGCAGTTCTGCACCATCTTTGTCTTCTTTTTCTTATTTTCCTTTATCCTTCTTATTCATCCCCTTTGCACACCAGTGAACTACTGCTGTCTACTTCTGATGCCCAGTGTCAAAATAGAATAGAAAAAAAAATCTGTAAATCTTAAAAAATACAATTTTTCATTGAAAAAAGATCCTGTTGAACTGCATTCCTCATCACGGCAAGTTCATTGTCTCAGGGCTCTGCTACTGAAAGATACAGGCCTGAGCAGCCAGCATGCCCCAAAGCACAGACTCTGTCCAGTCAGCTAGAGAGGATAATTAGGATAATCTGCATGCACATGGTTCATGATCATCCCTTCTTCTTGAGTAAAATGTATCAGAAAATTTGGTTTGGTTTTGGTTTGGTTTTTAAATTGCATGAGATTTAGTTCTAATCTGACAGAAATGACAATGTTGACATTCATCTGACTCATCAGAGAGTAAGTGCTCTGCAGGGAAAAATTTAGGACTCTCTAGAATAGCTCAAGTCATTGGAACTGACCATGGTTATCTGATGTCATACACTTAAAGCAGACTTCCTGACTCACTACATGACTACTTAGCACATAATGTACAAGTACATTATGCTTGCTGGAATTAGGAAAAGCATTTTTTCTCCATGTCATGAGTTTAAAGTAAAATAGGCATTACATGCTGTCATGAATAATTGTGAAATGTCTTGCATGTTCACTACAGCACAGATGCTTGAAAATTTTCCTAATCAGACACAACAATGCTTGCATGCTTAGCTTCACAGTAAGGCCATGTCTGTATGCATCATTAAACTGGAAGTGATTCCCTATCACACAGCCCAATTAGGTGAGACAATAACCAGCACATTTAATTTGTGCTATTCTGTTTGCTAAGCAGCTCTCCTACATTGGTAGCTCTGCATCTATTGAAAGTGATGCATCAGCTATGCACATGTTTGTGTCTGTATGTGCGTGCATATTTATATTTCCATAAAAATATCACTGTGATGTCCTACTTTCAGACAGTTCCATAAATTCTCAGAATGCATTTACAGTGAGGAACAAATCAAACTGCAAAACATGATCAAATTACTATGCACTGCATGAAATATTGACTGAGAAATAAAGCTGCTCTAAGAACAGTAGTTTATGAAGCAAAACAACAGTAATTGTTCTGCTTCTCTGAGCAAAATTTTGCATGGTTTACTCCTATATATTTTTTAATATCAGTGGGATTTCTTGTGAAAAGGATTGAGAAGTATTTGGTGTATTATTTCATTTGTTTCAGGCAGACTAGCAGATCCTTCCAGCGTGACTCCCTGTGGCTACAAAGACAGAGACGTCCTATGCATATCTATAAGAAGCTGGTGGGCCTGTAAGTATTGCTGTTCTCCCAAATATGATTAGTGTCCTAAAAGGCAATTTAGAATCCTTCTTCCCCTTAGACCTTTATGTTACAAAATAATTTCACTGCTACATAATTCTCCATTGATAGTTTGCAGCAAGACTCGGCAAGTGTGAGTAAATTAAAGTTAATTGACTTTGATAGCCTATTTGAGGAAGGAAAAAAAATGCAAATTTGAAGCCTTAAAAATGAATACACTGCAAAAATGCATATAAAAATATGTGGGAAACACCACGACAGGTATATGTTTGTAGACATTTGTGGAAATTACAGTTCTCAGTTACTTTAGAGCTGATTTGCTCAATTTAGATGCTAGTACATCAAACTAAAATTTAGTGTGAGAATGCCAAGCAGGAATCTGCATCACCCTTGGTAGTAGAAATCTGACAGTACTTTTCAGCCTTCAGTTACAACTCCATTACTTCACTGTGGTCAGTAGGCTACAGAAAATGAAATAAAGGGAGACCTTGTGTCCATGATATACAGATAACTTAATTATCTTCATTACACTGACAACACTTATCCAGCAGGCTTTCAAGTATTCAGCTAGAATTTAGCTATGAGGCAAAACAAAGACAGTGACACACAGAGAGAGGGAATTGTAAAGATCTGAATTTCCAGTATCAATGCCAGTGACATTTTCAGTGTTTTCCTCAATATCTCTAAGAATACATATCCAGATAATTCAGTCCCCCCCAAAAAAGCAGACATCTAAAATTCCTGGATATTTTTAATAATTCAGACCATTCATAGATTGCCTTGTTGAACTGAAGGAATCAAGTTAATACAAGAGACACAAGAATTTCATTTATAAAAATGTGTATCATAGACGTAACAGGAGAATGGTTCTATCTATTACACCTAAGGAAATACCATGCATTGCAGGAAACAGTGTAATCTCAATGATGCTGGTATTGAATCTGGAACCACCTTTGCTCTAGGCAGTGCAGGGAACAGGCAAAGTGACAAAATCTTCCACAGGACCAGCTGTGAGCCAACTCAGCCACATGTGCTGTTGGCATCACTACTGAAAAATGGGACAGAGCACCTTATCCTCCTGTGGGACATAAGGGTAGGTCCATCATATCCTCTGCCAGCATCATGGGAGAAATAATAGTGCACAAGACAGGATACTATAACCAAGTTTTTACATAGAAAGAAGAAAAATAGCTGTATCCACTTCTAGCTAAGAAGTTTGCAGAAAAGGAAAGTAAGCAATCTGAAATGCCACAGGCATCTCAAGGGTATCCATTTACTGTTGCGTAGGGTAGCGCAATCAATAACACTTCTAGTACCAGTTAAAAAAAAGCACCAGTGCTACAATGTTCTTTGTCTCAAGTGCAGGAACATGTGTGTAGCCTATTTCCCTCTGGCATTTTTACAATCAGTGTCTTTATGGAAATAAATTCCTCAAATAACAATGTATAGATAGATTTCAACGGAGTTCATCTTACATGACAATTCTTTTAATAAGCTTATGAAAAAACTTTTTAAAACCTTTAAATTTTCTCATTTGATTAATCAAAAATATTTAATTAATTTGCCTGCACCCAAACGGAATAACATTTCCACCAGCCCAAATAGAATCCTCCTCAAAAATGTTTTTGTTTCTGTTATTCAAAAGCTGAATTAACACATTATTAAAAAAAACCCAAACCACTAAAACCAAACAAACAAAAACCCAAAACACAAAAAAACCCCACCAACCCTAAAATTTACTTTTTATCTGACCTAGGTCAAAATCAGTATTTGTAGATTCCTAGGTTATTTTCTAAAAGTACAACTCTGACTCTTTTGGGAAGTTTATCTTCTATTTTTCCAGAAACAGAACTGACAGATAGGATGGAAGGGAAAAAGACAAATCTGACCTATAGATTACAATAACCACTTGTACCTATATATATTTTTAAGGAGCTAACAGGCCTTTTAAGTCCTCCAATTTAAATATTCTTTTCCTACTGAGGGAAAGGAAAGTCTCACATTCTTTTTCTCTACCACATTTTCCCTCCATCGCTTTTGTTCCTTGCTCCCTCAGCTTCCCTGCTGCCCTGCTGCCCCATGTAAGCCCCTTTTCCACCAGGCCTGCTGGCAGGCTGCAGCGAACATCTCAGTCCCTTCCCTGCCACACGAGAGCTGTGTTGTAGAGTGAATGAAGCTTTGAATGAAGCTTTTCGCTGTGAGCCAGCAACTAAATGCATACATCTTCACATAGTCAAAGGCGTGGGCATAGAGTATATTTAAAAGGTAATTTTAGGGTTAAACCAAAGCTCACTGTGATACTCCAAAATTCAGTTTCCTATTTAACTTACTTGTAAATACCGCACATTTCTGTGATACCAATTTTGTTGCCTCCAGAAAATGTAGAAAACTCAGCTTTGATTTACCCTGTTGCAGCAGGAACTTGCAAAAAGTCTTTAAGACTGCACAGAAGTGTCTCTTATTGTTCTGAGGATGTAAGTGGCTTCAGGTGGCCTTCAGGGCAGCCCTCTCTGACAGGAGTAGTCATATGAAGGAAGGAATGAGCTTAAACCGGAATCTTACATTTAATATGCCCCAAGGTGTATGAGACAGCTCTTGCATAAAAGTTCAGTCCTTTTTACCTAGAATAATACTCAGTATAGTCCTTTCCTGCACTGTTTTCTGCTCTGAGTTCCCCAAGTAGGTATAAATACATAATACATGCAAAACAATTTAAAGAATGTAAGTACTTTCTGATGTGAAATCCAGGTTTCAATACTTCTCATGAAAATTGTGAATAAAAAGCAAGGCCCAGCTTAGCAATGACTCTCGCTGTCGTACTGTCTTCTCATCACTTGGGACTTTTCCTTGGTTCTTCTGACTGGCCATACATTTTCTCCTGAATTCCTAGCCAGCTCCACATGCAGGAAGTGGAACAATGGTTTCCCATGAGTAGGAAAGGGATATATGGTAGGTGGTCAGGTTTTGGTGATTGTAGTCCTCACTGCTGGGACTGTGTACACGATACCCAGACAGTCTATGGACCTGCTACCAAGCACGAGCAAGTGGCTTCTCAGAGCAATGGCGCAGAAGGGAGAACAGCTGGTCTCCAGGCTCTTCACTGAAAGTTATTAAACTTCATTTCTACAAAGAGGACACAATTAAGAGAGTTTAAAATCTCCCTTTGAAATTAAGAAAATCAGATAGCCCTATGGGCACTCTTACTGGAGATGTGATCTGGCACAGGTGAGAACTGAACCTATATGCTGAGTCTGACTGCTCCAACCTATGGATCAGACCAGAGGAAGCAATCATCATAAAATAAATCTACTCAAACCAACTGAGGTAATTTCCAAAACGTTTTCAGTGAGTGGAATATTTTTTAAAAGTGAAATTATTTTCATCCAGTAAAATATCAATAGTATTTGGCTTTTCCTTTCTTATAAGCCTAGAATGCATAGAAGAGGGGTTTCTTTAATGTAAACAATAGTCACAGAGTACCCTTTAGTCTTTGTGTACTTAGTTTGCAATTAAGATTTTAGAGAATTTCTGTCCTGCCCATGACAACCTATAAAGATCTAACTTTTTTCAGTCGCTTTATCCTTTCCCATAAATAGTACAGCACAGTGCCAGTTCATGCAAAGCCATCCATAAAGGACAATATATAAATTAATATTACAAATCGTATCTAAACAGTACAGATATCATCATCAGTGCATTTCAATACATATGTCCCACTGCTGAAAATAATTGGACCTGTGGCAATTTGAAATGGTTGCATTTGGTATGGATGAGTGTTCATTTTGCTACGTGGGAATTTTTTCATTTGCTTGTGGTTAACACCTCCTCCTTCTTTTTAATTACTGCTACAGGTATGAACTACTACTTGGCTGTCATACCCTTTCTGGGGGCAGTGGAGGCTGGCCTCTTTGGACAGCTGCCATACAAGATAGAAATATTGCCACCAGCGGAACAAAGAGCTGATTTTTGTTACAGTGTTGATGACTGCCAGTCTCGTATGCCCAAGCTTATGGATGAGTGGAAGGCCTATTTTGAAGTAAGGAATATTTCTTTTTTCATATTTTGTAGAAAACCATTCCAGAATATTGCTTTTTAAAGCTATTTCTGTTATTTGTAAGATTCAGAGAACTTGGTTTGCTTGCAATATCAACTGATATAAAAGTAACAAGCAGAAAAAATGAAAAGTGTGACATAAAGTGAGACAGAGATAAGAAGGCCAGGATTTTGACAGTTCATGGATTTTTGCCTTTCTTTAAGATAATTCCCTATTTTGGAGCCCGTCCTGAGAGACCGGTTTGTTAGCAGTTATATTTTAATTCTCCTTATACTGCTTATGTTAGCAATGCAACATAAGCATGTAAGATAGAACATTAGCCTTGAGAAATGGCCTTGTGTTGGTTTTATGGGGTTCATTTACTGCTCTGAACATCTAAAAAACTGAAAATGCTAAAAACTTCATTCAAAAGGACATTTATTTATGCAAGTAGATACTCTCTTTCCTCCTCTTTCAGCTGTTCCCTAATCCCACAGATGAGAATATTTCTTACTTCATAGGTTCAATAACTATTTTTATAGATAGACTTCTATAGTCAACATTTTTGTTGGTAGTCAAATAACTGATAATGATCAGAAAATTTAAAATGTAAGTCCCTCTTGGCAGCTGTGAGTGAAGGTAGAGATTTTAGGAGCAAGACTGGATTTGTTTTTTTAATATTTTTTCTCCAAGCAGTAAATTTCAGAAGTTATTATAAAATATCTACTCTTCAAAGAACCATAATGAAAACCATTAAAGACTGTTTTCTTATTTTCTTAAAATATTCAGAAAGGTGTGGCTGAAAGAATATAAGCAGTTTTTCAAGGAATCCAATTCTTTAGCATGAAAGCTTCCAGGTACTCAGATAGCAAAGTCCACTGAATTACTGTGATAGAATAATTAGATTAAGTGGATAAACTCTCGCTCTGTTTAAGCCAATGAATGAAGGGCAACTCCCATTAACTTCAGTGGGAATATATATTCACTTTATAAATTTCTATTAATCATCTTTTTCTCCCTATGCCAGTTATTACAGTTACTTACAAAGTAAAATAATCTAATTCTAAATCCTCAAAAGCAATTTCCCTTAGCTTGCAAACTTATTGCTTTGTGAGGTGTGTGTGTAAGTCTGACAGATTCATTTGGTTTAAACCTCCCCTCTTTTTCTGTCTTTTTTCCTCTGTTGCTGCAGTATCTATTGACAGAACATGAAGCCATGAGCCCTGCAGCTTTCTCCTCCTTCAAACTGGATGATGCCCTCAGTCTCATGTGGAGGGCTCACGTCTCCTCCATTGCTTGTGCGCTGCCCAAGTTCCAGGACAGGTACAGGGACGAGAGAGGTGGCCAAGTGGGATCTTCTCACCTGCATGCCTTTTTTGAAGGACAGCATCCCAACAAAGTCTGCATAAGCTTTTTTACTTTAGGCCTCTACTCCTCAGGCTCTACTCTTCCCTCCACTCTCTGGGACCATGGGATGACCAGCAAGAGATGGCTGCCCAGGCTGTAATGGGTGGGCAGGCTGCGGGCTTAGCAAGAGATACTGATTCCTCTCTAGGAGTCAGGGCCCAAGTCAGGAGCTGTGTATAGCCTGGGCATAGACAGCAGTGCCAGGAGAAATTAGATGTAAAATTCTGAAGTAGGCTTTAAGTCACTGTGACACTGAGACCACTCAGGTATTTATGCTGAACAAAACACATTTAGGATAAAAGACTAATGTGTTCCACAGTGGATATGACAATTATCTGTTACATTTTTCTTTTTATCTCTTTCAGCTTAAAGTATCTCTCTGATCCAGAAGCAAATTTTGGTGAAGACTGGGCTAATGCTGTAGATTTCATTGCAGCCACACACTTCTCTACAGATTTACTGACCACAAATGAATTCCAGGCTTTCCTGCCCCAGAGGATGCTCGTTGAAGGGGATGTCCCCCCATCCCTTAATGACTTCAGTCCACAGCAAAATACAGTCCTGCTTTCACTGAGAGCTCTTCACAAAGCAAATAAATTATCAGGTACAAACCCAACCTACAGACACCTGTAGTCCATAGATATTTAACATCTTGTTCTCTCTTTCTATATCTTTGTCCATATGAACACAATGATTTTTTTGATGTACAATGTTAACACTTCCTAGAGACTAAGTGGAAAACAATACAGCTAAAAATACAACCACAAGTGAAAAACATACCAGGGAACAAATGCAGCAATGGGATAACACTGAAGATATGCAGTGAGGATTTCACATGAGACAGACGCCTTATTTGTTAGAGCAGATGAGGTTACTTTTTTCCCCTGAATTTTTCACAGGAACTTTAAAAATCACAAAGACTATTTTGTGTTTCACTAGTTACATCTGAAATCATTAAAGCTATAAATGAAGTTATTAAATTAGTTGAGGTCATTACAAAAAATGGGCAAATGATCATGAATAACAGTTTGTGTGTCCACAAGTGTTCTGGTTTTGGTTTTGGTTTTTGTCTCAGTCTTTGGTTTAACAAAGAATATTCAGACTGTCCCAGCAAAATATACTCAATCTCAAAAACTGCATCCTTAGACTATGCTGAAGTTTCACTAAAATAAGTTGTGCATCACCATCCAGTGGTGAGACATAGAATTACAATCTTCTGAGGTTTCAGTTCTTTCATACATATTGCTGGGTTAGATTTTTTTTTCTTGCCCTGTACAGAGGAAAGATATTGCAAATATTTAATTTAAAATACAATATAAAAATACACTATAAAACTAATGTCTGGTGCTATGACATTTGTTTTGTGATCTTTTTCTTCTTTGTCTATTAATTTCAGTGAAAATTTTCTCACTAGCTGTATTCATAGCTGAAAAAGGCTGTTTCATGAAGCCATTCAGTGTTACAGAAGAGCATCCTCACATCACACAGTGCTTCCCTCACACCTTCCACATTGCATGAGGGTGTCCCATAGTCTGAATAAGAATCTTAACAGCTCCATCCCATGCCTGGTAGTCTATGCCACAGCTCAAAGAGGAGCAGGTAGGCAGCAGAGCACCAGGGCAGCAGAGCAGATGAGAGCAGCACTGGAGGAAGAGAAGAGAAGAAGCATGGATGCTGAAAATGGTAGAAAGAAGGAAAGAGAGGGATGAAGAAGTTTCATTCAGGTGCAGCCATAATGAAGTCCATAGCTGAAATCACTTGCCTTGCATGTGGGTGATCTCACTGACTGCTTTGAAGGGATGGTCTTTGCATTCAGCTGAGTTAAATGCCAGCCGACTACTTTACAGAGCACAAAAGGAGCTTTAAACTAAATTTGACTTGGATCTAGATCCACAGCCTCCATCAGGACCTGGAACACTAGATCTTACTGCTACAAAACTCAGATTACAAAATGTGACATACTGGTTTTGTAGAGCCAGATTCCTCAAACTTTTAAATACATCCTGTGAGATGTGGAGTCCTCTTCTGGTGCTGCAAACTTCAACAGCAGATAGAGGATCTCATTACCTCTTAGGACCTGACCCTGTCCAACCCAGAGTGAGCTTTGATTTCTTGATTCAGAGTTCGATTGCTCTTTATTTTCCTCTATCTGCCTCTGCCAGTCCAGCAGGGATCTGTATTAAGAGCATGCTGTGCTACCTCTAAAGCTTCTTGACTCATGGACAGTCAGAATCTTTACTTTTTATGCTCTGCCCCTCACTGATATCTGAAGGCAGAACAGTGGATGCCTTGGTATTCAAGACCTGTCCTGCTGTCCTCACCTTTCCTGCGGTCCTCCTGCAGTCCTCCTAGGCAAGAGAACCCCTTGCTGCCCTCTCTTTAATTTCTCATCTTCCTAGTTCAATACTGTGCAAATTCAGTTCTTCACTGTTGACAGTTTTATACAAAGGCATGTTTTTCAGGAGAATAAGCTCCTCTTAGTTTTCTAGTATCCTTTTTTTTGCCCTCAGATTTCCATTGTGGACACTTTATCCACCACAAAGATCAGCACTGAGAGGAGTAGGTAGCAGGCAATGACTATCCTGCAGACTGCTGCTAATGCTGGACTGGTCAGGCACGCTTCCTAGAGAGCCACTGCTTATTGCCTGGATGAAAGTATCAATATCATTTGCTTCTTTAGCGTGAGGCCTTAGCTGGGAGAAAGTGCAAATTCTTGGCTGCTTTAGAGGAAAAACAAAGATGTGCATGATTATAATCACCAGGCCACTGCTTCACAAGCCATGAAGCTATGTACAATTGCAGACCAAGGTCTTAACATGCGTCTTCAATCATTTTGACTTGCAACTCTGGTGACAAGGGAACAAGCCCTGTTGTCTGTCAGTACAAAGGATCCTGAGTTGCATGAATGGTCTGTGTCTCCCTACACAGCTGTAGATAATTATTACCCCATCGGTACGCTCTGGCTTTGTCTGTATTTCACTGTCCACAGGAGACTGGTGGCTGCTTGTTGCCAGACATGCACTTTGTCCTTTGTGTCACGCAAGCTGTGTGTGCTCCATGTTAATTTGATAATGTCATGTTGTGCTTCTTTCTAAGGAGGATTGGTGCTGAAGCTCTGGCGAAAGGCTATGTCTACCGAAGCAGGAAGAATAATTGGCCGAAAAATGCTTGAAGGCTTGGTTTCAAGTCGGAACTTTGATCCAGTGGAAAATACAATGATTTGGAACGAGCTGATTTAATAGCACTCAGTTTCTTGAGGAAAAGCAGTTCCAAAATTGATTGATTTAATCTTCTAGCAGATATGTGTCTGGTAATCTAGCCTTGGTAATTTCTTACAGCACGATTTCCTGCACAGTCATGTGTGCATCTCTCTCATATTGAATCAATATTTTTATCCTTAATTTTCCTAATTAGCTCATTTGTTAACTCAATTCCTTACAAATAAAAGGCCTCACAGAAAATCTTACTTTATTACCTTTTTGAACTTTATAAATAATGTATTATCATTTGAGACAGAATTAAATAAAAGCAAATTATATTCTGTTTCAGACTGGTTTTTTCCTTGTATACAGGGATTCCATCAGATATGTTATTACTCAGGTTCTTGATGGTCTAACAGATGATCATCAGAAACTTTTCTTTGGAATTCTGATCAAAAACCAGTCACCCAGCTGTTTCTCACCGAAGTTGTTATTTTGCAGACCAGCTGCAATCAAACTCAAAGCTTTCAGGCTTTTCTGATTAAATACTTGAGTATAGATGGATTCCCTCAGCATGCTGCTTTGCAGCAAGCGTGTGTCTCATGATACTGTGGAGTCAGTTCTGAGAAGTTCTGAAGCAAATGAAATGGGAGGCTCATAGTTTAGGGCTAGGGTCTAGATAAAACCTAGTAATCACATTACCAAGGAATTTAATAGTTTATAGAAATTAATGGAAAATGGAGATTAGCAGGCATGTAACTAACTAACAATAGGGTATTGAATAAGAGAAATGAAGTATAGAGAAATAGAAACTGAAGCAGCCTAAAAACCAGATTAAACCAACTCTGTGACTTGGAGAAGTTCCAAGAGCATGTGCCAAAAGCAGGTTATGGGAGTTCAGCACGACAGACTACTTACTTCCTCCCGAAAACCCTGGCCCAGAACCACCAGGAGGCACTGCGCAAGCGTGACTGGGAGGAGAAGAAGGCAGAGCACATGCAAAGGACTTCTTGGAAAAGGCCCACTTTTTCGGGGAATGGTTATGAATATGTATAGGAGCTTAATGAATAGGCAATATGCTACTGTATGAAATCAAGGGAAATTGCTGTTTTAGGGGCGCACATCTTCAGAGGAGTGATCCCCGTGCGCTCACGCGTGGAATAAACATACCTACTTTACAACCTTACAGGTTGTGGAGTCTTTTTCCATGAGTCACAAACGAGCTTATTCTGTAGCAGCTCTTACACGACTAACAGAGACTTCTGGTATTTGATGCATTTCACTTACCCAGATAAAACATTAATCTATCTATCGATTTATGTGATAATGTAGTCTGTAGTTGCTTTTCCATTCCCCCTTGTTCCAACCCCTCTTGTTGCAGCATGTCATATGTTAGATTTGATTACTGAGGAAGAGAGGCATTCGCAGTGTTTGCACTCCTAGTGCCCAGCATACTCAGGCCCAAGTGCTGATCCCTGTCTTCTGGGTGATAACACATACTGGAAATTAATTATAATGACTTGGCATCAGAGGTTGTGTGGAAGTGGAACAGGGGTCCTGCAGGCAGACAGAGGTCTAAGTTTCTTAGGAAATCTGCTGACTTGGATCCTCCATCCTTATGAAAACTTGCCCTAGAGAGCAGGCACAGCTGAAGCTCCCTTTCTGTGGTGGAGAGCTGGTGATGGCCACTTCCTGCTTCATTCTGTCAGATTATAGCCTGGACTACAGTGCAGTTAACAATAACACAAGCCTTAGACTCAAAAGACAAAATAAGGGAAAGCAGCTTTGCTTTGCCACCATTTTAGGTCTGCCCCACAGTTTCGGTTGCACCTAGAATCTCATTTAGTAACTCTGTCCCATACCCCTCACTCAGAAGGAGAAAGGCATGTGCTGCTTGCTCTGTTGCTCTCACACACTATATTTCACTTGCAGCCATCGTAGCTGTAGTCTTTCTGACACACATACAACAATCAAAGGTTTTCCATGGATGTGAGGCATGAGATTTGGACTTTTCCCCCCACAGCACCAGAGTGACTGAAAAGAAGCTCTCACAGCCTCGGTAGCAGCAGAGCAAGGGCCCTTCCAGCAGGGACCCTCCAGCAAGAATCTTCTGAGGCTGCCCTGAAGCCCACCCTCTCGCCGAGGCAGGAGCATGGTTAGGAGTGAGATTTGGCTGCAACTATGGGTACCCCCATCCTGCAAGTGCCCACCAGCAGCCTAGCAGCACCTTCCATAGCAAACGGCCAGCCACTGTGTGCCTGCTGGACACAAGCCCTCTGTGTCTCTTTGGGCTGCTAGTCCAGCTCCAGGCAGAGAAAGAGACATCAGCTCCTCAGGAAACTCCACACCTCCTGAATTATTAGCCAGATACCAAGTAATCAAAGGAAAAGACAATTATTTGTGCCACTTTCCCAGTTTGACTGGTCCATTCTCCCCAAACAGTGCACAATATTTGCACTGTAATTTAAGAAATAATTATCAAGGCATTGAGCACTTAAACACTACTCTGTCCTTTAATGGCCCAGGACAAAGCCTTTAATTATTCATTGTCATTTTATGGATAAATTCTTAATGTACCATCATTAGCTAACAATTTTCAAAGGAAATACATTAACGAGGTCTAAGAAAATGTGGGAGTTTTTAACCTTAATTACCTGGTTGATAGATCAAAGTAATTAGAAACCAACAGACTTTAGGTATAATCTAAAAGTAATTACCACAGCTGCCAGCTGTTAAAATATGAAGTTAATTGCGCTCCAGTAAAGTTTGGGGAAAAAAATTGACCTTTTCTGTGGTTAACTTAGACTTGAGATAAGGTGTGCTTTGAGAAAACAAAAAGAGCCATTAATAAAAATAGGGAAAACAGGCTTAGAATTTGCAAACTGCTGCACTTAAGAGAATATTTGTAACATATTTTTTAAAAGCAAGAATCTCCTTACCTGGAATTATGATATCATTAAGAAATACTTCAGTATTTTGACAAAGAACCATGTTTCTCAATACAGCATCAGGCATTTATGTATTTTAGATACTTTGTCCTAATTCAGCATGTCAACCAGTCAGGCAAAGTCTTTAGAAACCAGTCAGCAATTGCACTTTGGAGGTTAATGCACATATAAAAGTTTAGACAAAACATGGGATGGTAAATTCATACAAGTAGAGCACATCCAGATATCTTGAAACAGAAAAGATGCATCCTAGTAAGAAAATATATGGGTATCATAAATTAAGCAGAGAGAAAAGTATCAAGAGGAAGCAGTACAGGTGTGGTAGAATGTCTCTGGAGAAGGACGGGAGAGCGTTGGAGAAGTCTGCTCGCTGTCAGCTAACAAAGCAAGGAGGACTCACAAAGCAGAAAGGATTTTCTTACTCAGCATTAGTCTGGGACTTTCAGCCCTGTTCTCATGCCTTTTACACATATAATCTCTTTGCTGAGGACTGCTGGGCATTAAACAGGACCACTTTCTGTTTGCCAGAATTGCTGTTAGAAAAAAGCATAAACACAGCTGGCTGTGGCTCCAAAAGTCAGGAGGTTAAACTTCTGTACACATTTCCAAATAGCAAGCCTAGGAGGACTGAAACAAGCAACATTTGGGAGGGAAGGATTTTTTAAAAAAATTTGGAGAATAAAAATCCACCAGAAAATAGTCTGACCTTCCTCAAAGCTTGGGCAATGGGGGCAATAGTGCCCTGCTCCCACAGCTCTGTGGGGCTGATGGCAAACCACTGCCTTCCTCTCCTGAGTCTACTCAGCTCACATCCAAGGTCATCCAGGCTCATTTTAGGCAGGTCAGCTCCTTGTTTCTGAGAGGTGGGCAGTTTTTAGTCTTTCCTACAGGAAGTGAAGTTCTTGTCCTTGTCTGCATGTTTGCAACTGGGAGCACAGTCACTGCAAATGGACCTGTGCTTTACCATATAGTCTCCTAAACCATCACATAATAGACATAGAGTTGACCTCTTCAGCAGTCTCTCTTTTTGTTCCATAAGGGGAATGGCACCCTTCTTCTCTAGGAAAAGTACCTCTGTCTTCATAGAGTTGTAAGCGGGTATCGACAGTCACTTCTTTAGCTTTCTTAAGTGTCAAGACATGGAGCTTCCAGAGCCTATGCATGAAGAAGTTGTTACCAAAAATGCAGAAAACCTTTTTTTTTCAAGCAAGAATTGGATTCTTGGGTTTCCCTTTCCCTGTGATCCCTAATCTGTGCAGAATTACTTGGGCCCTCTTCCTTTCCAGCCTGTGTTCTCTGATGCATAATTAAGTGCTTTTTTGCTGGTGGGAAAAAGCACCCTCCTTTACACTTGCCAGGTATGGAGGGAGAGCAAAGATGTTCTTGCCCATGGGACCCTTTAACCTGGCAGTTAGGAGGTTCTGCTGAGAAGCAGAAGATGTAGCTTTGGACCCTTCCAGGTAGAAAACAAAACTAAACCTAATATAAGTACTTCAAATGTTGGCATATTTTAAAAAGACCCGCATTTCCCCAAAGCAAACTGCTCAGCTATGTTTTCAGACCAGGGCATGTTGCCTGCCCCTCGTCAGCAGGATGTTATGGGCTATAAACCTCTAGTTCCCACTCTTGAAGGTGGTGAGATTCAAAATTATCTACTCTTTTTACATTTCCCTCACCTTAACCTTGGTGGCTTCAGGAGGAGCACATTGTCTTTTTCTGATTGTATGCTGAGCCTTCATATGCTGAGTGCAAGGAGCTGGCATCTTAAAAAGTTCTGAAATTAAGACAATTTAATTTTCAAAGAAAACTCCTGGCTTGATACCACCTCTACCACTGCCATTTCATTTTTGCAGTGATGCTGGACACCAGAGCACTCATTGGGCTCTGTTCTATTTAAGTCCGAAGTGCTTGCAGTCCATATTCACAGAGGCATTTGGGCTCCTAGCACCCAATAGGATGTTTTCATTAAGATTTAAGAATTTGAATATGCTTGAAGATCTGAACCTAAACTAATTTTGACTCTCATCTTCTGTGCTACAGTTGAGACTCAATGGGCCATGAGGCATTTTAAGAAAAATTTGTGTGGTATGA